TATAAATATGATTCATAAATTATTAATTAGAATAAAAGATTAAAATATATTAGATATTAATATTTGGAATACATATCATTATATCAGAAACTTTTTTACAAAGTATGCTTATTTAATAAATATTAAATTGAAAAATGATTTACAATATTAAAATAGTGAACTTTCATTTTAAATATATGTATAATAGCTCATTATAACAAGCTTAAAGTAAGTAATTTACTTTATTTTAATCAAGTATGTAGAAGAAGTGTATGGAATCTTGAATAATATAATTTTTTTGTTTAATATTTTTTCTATCAAATAGATATACACAACATTTCAATCATTTTCTTCAACCTCAATTTCTTCTTCTTTTAAGTTGATTTCATTTAAAATTTTTTCAAATTTTTTTTCACTTTTTCTAATTTTTTATTTGAATTAAGTTTGTGAAGCATTTATTTAAGAACCTTAATACAAAATATTTCCAGAAGAGAGACCTTCATCAATAGAAATTAATTCTAAAGCGAATCTTGGCCCAATTTCTCTCAACTCTTTTTATTAATATATTTCATATTATCTAAACCATATTCTATTTTGTGCTTCCCCTTCTGTAGTGAATGTAAAGATTCTATCAATGAAATTATCAGTAAATCTAGCTTAAGCAACATTAAACAAGAGAGTTATTATTTCCTTAATTAATTTGTATTTAACAATAGTTTCAAATCTTTGATCAAATTAAAGTAAAACTCTACCCTTTTTTGAGAAATTGCCAGCCAATTATAGATCTTTAATTGTAGTAACTATAAGTTAAATTATAGGTATATACTATTAAGAACAGAAAATTAAACTGTAGGTCCTGATGGATATGATCCGAAAACTAAGATAAGTTGGTTTGAAATTGTATGGAATACAATAAAGGAATTACATTTATGATTTTCGCAGAGGGAAGGAATAACTTATCTTAATTATTCATATTTGATTTTATTAGTCTTAAATATTAATAATGTGTACTTTTTTTGAATGTGGAAGAATGCTCATAATATCCAACATAAAATGCCTATGTTGCAAATCTAAGTTTCTGGTGGGTACAATCAAAATATGATTTCGATAAAAGACTTTGTGTTATTTTTCAGCCATAGGTATAATTATGGATATATATTTATTAATTTTATTAATGGGTGATTAATTTTATCAATTAAGTGCAAAATGGACAGTTTCAGAGAAATACAATGCTAGTTAGAATCTTGATTATAAAAAGACGATTGTGGATGTTTGTTCATTTAATACAATAGAAGAATTTGCATTTTTAATGAAAAAGACTATTTATTCAAAAATATCAGATGTTTTAAGTGAGCCATAGAAATGCAAAATGTAAAGAGATGTTATAATTACAGCTTTAAATAATTTAATGACGATGCTACTGATGTTTAAATAGAAGCAATATAATTTTTCAAGAATGATATAAAACCATGGTGGGAAGATGAAAATAATAAAAATGGTGGTGAAATCTAATTTGATATTCCAACATAATTTTATAATATATATGATAATTTATACTAAGATATTTTATATGAAGTAATTGGATAATCAAATGAAGATTTGAGACATGTATATAATATTATGTTATTTAGGTAAATGGTTTAAGAGTGGTTGATAAAATTAATGCTAAATAAGGCAATAGAATAAGAATTGAATTATGGCTAGATATTGATCCTAAAGATAAGCATGAGTCCATTTAAAAATTTGATAGCTGGCTAGTATCCTTGATTCAAAAATATCAAATTGAATAAACTTAACTCACTTAAGTGTCACATAAAAAATGAATATTGTTGATTGAATAGCATCATACATAATATTAATAATTATTAAATGGGTACTATAGTTTGTTCGAAAAAAAAAAATACTCCTCCTGTTTCAATTCTTACAGAACCAAGCAATTTGATAACAATGAGTGAACCTCAATTAAACATAAAAGACAATAAAGATGAATACTTTGATGATGAAGAATTGTTAAAATATGAACATTCCAAATATAAACTGAGAGAAGTCTAAAACAAGCCAATAAAGTATAAGGATTAATTTTATGTCAAGGTGGTAATCATTGAATCATTATTTGGGATAAGGATCATTTGGTTCTGTTGAATTAGGTAAAGATCTAGAGAGTGGATAATTCATTGCAGTAAAATAATTATCAATCTCAGGATATAATCCTAAATAAATAAAGGCAGTATAGATTTATTTATAATATATGAGAAAATAGATGCTTTCGAATTGGAAATAAAAGTATTATCTAAATTAGAACATCCAAATATTGTGAAATATTTAGGAATGGAATAAAATCAAACTCATATTAATTTGTTTTTAGAACATGTTTCAGGAGGATCAATAAAATCTTTGTTGGAAAGGTATGGACATTTTCCTGAGAATCTAGTATAATAATATACAAAATAAATTTTATGGGGAATAGAATATTTACATAGTCATGGAATAATACACAGAGATATCAAAGGAGCCAATATTTTAGTAGATGCTAAAGGAATATGTAAATTAGCTGATTTTGGTTCATGTAAGTCATTGTCAAAAGAGGATTGTAATACATTCACAGGAACACCCAATTGGATGGCACCTGAAGTAATTAATGGAAAAGGATATGGAAGATTTGCAGATATTTGGTCACTTGGATGCACTTTGATAGAAATGATGACAGGCAAACCTCCTTGGTATGATGAAGCTAAGAATCCATTTTAAATTATGATGGAAATTATGAAAGGTTAACCACCTCAAATACCATAAGATTTAAGTGAAACAGCCAAAGATTTCTTGTCTCATTGTTTATAGTAATTATTTATTATGAAAAGATATGATCCTAAGAAAAGATGGAATATTACAAAGTTATTACACCATCCTTTTGTACCTAAAGGAGGAAATAAATCCATTTCAATTGATTTAAGTAATATGTTTCGACCTTTTTACAGGTAGGCAACATGATTAGAATTTTGATTATTATATTATATTATATCATATCATAAATTAAGTTCTCTTTTTCTATTGCATATTAATTAAATTTTTGAATAAATAAATCAAATATTGATTACTCTTATATTCATTTTAATGAATACAAATAGTTTATAATATGTACAGCTAAATCTTCAGGCACTTCTAAAGGAGGCATATGACTAACATCTTAATGAACAATCAATGTGCATTTATTTTTACCTATAAAGTGGATATTAGTCTAAAACTATTTATATCAATTACATAGGCATCAGAAATAGGACAAATTCGATCTAATAAACCATGATATAAGAAGACAGGACCTTTTATTTTATTTACCTAATGAGTAATATCAAATTTTTATAATGCCCATGTCACATCAACGTAATTTGATTGTTTAAATACATCTTTTAATAATTCAAATAATTCAAGATCACTTGGATATCTTCCACTGTTGAGTAATGCTTTTTTAAAAACATGATAAAAGTAATTATAATCATTTTATTTCATTTTCTTTACATTATGTTTAATTTTAGAATGATCCATTATTTATTATTTAGTTTAGCATTTTATTGATAATTATTTACCCTCCTCATCCTCCATATACAAATGATTACCATGACAACCTGCACTGGCTACAAGTATTAATTTATGATAGTATTCACTTTTATCACTTGCTAATTATAAACATACAGCTCCTCCTAAAGACCAACCACATAATATCACTTTTTAGGATATTTCTTCTTTTTTAAATAAAGATATTATTAAATTATGAATATCTGTAGTCAAATCTTTGACATCTTCGATACTATTATTTAGTAATTATGAATTTCCAAATCCTTTTAAGTCTAAATTAATAATTCTTATTTATTTATCTTGATCTCGTTTTTGTATTTCTTATATAAATTTGCACCAATGTTAAGAGGATGTGATATTTCCATGTACCAATATTAATGCATACAAATATGGATAACAATTATCTTAATGTGTGTCTGTATAATATAATTATTAATTAATATTCATATATTATTAATAAAAATGTTATTGAGAGGAAGAATTTTAGCTTATTTTGCAAAAGTGAAAGTAACAGACACTCCAAAAATAAGAATAGGAGAAGCTGTGAAATTAATAAAAGAAAGTGCAAAAGCTAAATTTGATGAGACAATAGATTTTTAATTAAGGTTGAATGTTGATCCAAAACATGGTGATTAAAATGTAAGAGGAACATGTATGTTACCAGGAGGATTAGGAAAGAATGTGTCTATAGCTGTCTTAACAAGTAATGAATTGAATGATGCTGCATTGAGAGTATTTATATAATTAATCCTAGGCAGGAGCAGATTTTGTTGGTCAAGAAGAAATATTGAAATCTATTAAGGATGGAACATATAAATTTGAAAAATTAATAACAACATAAGATATGCTTGTTCTTTTGAAACCTTATGCAAGATTATTAGGTACAAAAGGATTGATGCCAAATCCAAAGGCTGGAACATTGGTCTTGCCTTAAGAACTTACATAAGCAATAAAGGGAGCAAAAGCAGGTTCAATTGAATTTAGAGTGGATTCAGGTTCAAATTTAATGGTACCTGTTGGAAAGAAATCATTTGATGATAAATTGATATTAATGAATATCAAAGCTTTTTCATTAGCTTTGAATTAAAAGAGGCCAACATCTTTAAAAGGATAATTAATAGGAGAAGCAAGAATAAAGACAACTATGGGATAGCCAGTAGAGGTAGATGTGTCTTCATTTGATTAAAGAAACAAGGAAAATGATTTGAAAGATTTGGTTTATTGAATAGTATATTATTAAATAAAGATTAATATATAAAAGAGTATCTAATCAAAAACTTTCAATAATATAATTTATCAAAAGTACAGGACTAATTAAAATAGCGCAGATGATTGTAATTGGAGATAGTATAATTCCAATGAAGAGAAACAGTTAAAAGAATCCAAATTAAGCAAATTTTGAATAGTTCTAAATTCTGAAATTTGATTTTTCTTGTACTATTTTATAAGGTGCTTACAAAATATGGAACAGAAGTATAAATGGCAGCGAAAAGAGCAGTGCACCTGTAAACACTAAGGCAAATAAAAGTTTTGCAAAAGCAATCATAATTCTAATTAAAATAGGATTTTTTAAGGGTTTGATCCTCATCACTTATCCTCCTGGAACTATAGAAATAAACTAATAATTATAAAATACTAGCACATCCAAAGATATTCAATATAGTATAATGAGCTGGGGAATACATGCCTCTACATATCCAACAAAACTCATATTTACATTTATAACATATCATATGATTACAACCTCCTTCTTTCTTAATTGGAGCTGAACAATTAGGACAATTATTAATTTAGAGTTCTTTCCTTGCTTGAAGATACTAGGTATCCATAGCTTATTCACAAGATATATCTTTATGGTATTGATTACCACATTTAAAACAAATTTGCTGACCACAAACACATGTCAGTAAATCCACACCTTACCATATAACATAATTTTCACAATCCTACATATTATATTTAAATATTTTACAATTCTAGGACACCATCTAGCATTTTTATTCATACTTATTAATTATCGAAACTAAAATCTCTAATATTTTTCATATAAATTTTATGAAACTATTTCTTTAATTTAAAGATCCCCAAATTCTTCTTTACAAAATAAATTAGGACACAAAATTACGAAGGCATTACCTGCCAAAATATTCTCCTTTAGATATTCAGAAATACAATCCCTACAAAATTCATGTTAACAAGATAAGAACTAATGAACTTATCTGAATGAAAAACAGATTTAACATTCTTTATACCCTTTGGATGTTAAAGAAGGATTGTCATTATTTTCAAGAGATTCAATATCTTCTTGGTACTTATTGGGTATTATTCTACTCATTCCAAATCTTTGAATAACTCTGTATTTTTTCTCTACTTTAAAGATTGTATTGTTTTTTAATTAACTTTATTGTTCTTCAAATATTTTTGATTATGATTTGATTTCCTATTCTTAATTTTGTTAGATATCTAAATAGATTGGATCCTAGCTATTTTATTATTCACCTTAATTTTATTTGCATTTAAGAGTTTCACTTTATTTTAATTTTGGACCATGATTTTAAAAGAGTTAAGATTAATAGAGTCCTAAATAT